CTATGGTACCAAATGGGACTAGTTCCCATCTAAAAGAGGGTTATTCAATGTGTGTGTGTGTGTGTGTTACAAATATGTAATTATTTTTACATATTTTAAAAAATATTTAACATAAAATAGCTATTATATTTATTTTGAAATAAAATACAATAAATGCTTTATTAAATTACACACACACACACACACACACACACACACACATATATATATATATATATATATATATAGAAATATATAGATTTTACATTATAAATACTTAGAACGCAAAGTAATAGTATACTTTCATCAAACCATTTTTTTTTTCATTTGTGTATTAATATAATATGTAAAAATATGTTTTGAAGAAAAAAATTGATATATTTCTATTAAAAAAATCAATTCTGTAAAAATATTAGTTATTATATATAATTATTTTCATTTCAAAATAAAATATTTTCTAAGTTTTTGTTTTTGGTGGTAGTCCAAATATGCAAGTAATAACCAAAACAACAAAACAAATGCATCCAACATATATTTTAATTGTTAAAAAAAACACGAATTAAAACCGAATATGAACACACTATATTTTCAAATTTTGTTTTCTTCTAATAATGCAGAATTTAGTATTTACACCAAATGCGCTCTAAACGTGGAGCTTCAGGATTTTAAGGCGTGCCCATCCATCTGGCAGTATGGAGATAGCAAGATGGAGATGTGGGCAGCTGCCTGCCCTGCTCGTAAAGAACAAAGTTTCAGCCATGAAGTAATAAAGGACAAGCAAGATAGAGCTGGACCTATAGCCACAGAAACTGGGGTCACATCATCACTCACAACATCGCCCTCCACAGTAAATTAAAAGTTTGGGACCCAAAGGATGCGTTGTCCAGAGGGGGACGGGCGAGACGGGCGGGATGGGTGGGCGGACGCGGGGTCCAGCCTGGCGCCCGGTGCCAGCGACGGGTCCGTACTTGGAAAGGGACATGAGTGAGGACATGTGGGATTCACGAACTATGCGTTCGTGACTGGGAGTTGTGTTCGTAACTTAGTGTCGTTCAACGACTGAAGCAGCTTTGCCATCGCCAGCCAATTCCCTTCCTCGTCTTTCGAGCTTTCTCTCTTTCGCTCGTCCGCTCGCTCGCTCTGTCTCTCTCTCGAGCATTCATCTGGTGTCTGTTGGCGGCGACTGGATTGAGAGACAACGTCGTCGCGGCTGGTGTTCTGCGGTTTTCTTGTCTCATCATCTCCGCGCGCTTGTTCACTCTCTGTAGACTTTCTTCATTCACGCCCTCCTGCGAAGTCGACGACGAGTTGTTCCTCTTGATCTATGTGCTCATTCCCTTCTTTACTCGGATGCTGACAGTCGTAGATTCGGGGACTGGTTGTTGCAAGGTACCTGGCTATGTTGCTCGGTCGGTGTATGGTCGGTGTCGGGTGAGTTGCTCCGTTGTGTGGGTGGAATTCCTTTGATGTTTGTCCGAAGGTTCCTTGATGCGTTTTGGTGTAATTTTAGGTCTGGGAAACTCCTCTACTTGCTTGTTTTTGTATTCGCCTCCTTGGTTTTCAAGACGGCGTTCCTTTCTTTTTTTTTTCTTTTTTTTTTTCTTTTTTTTTTTTGTATTCAGACCGCCTTGTTTAAAATTTTCCTCTTATTGATGACTTTCGTGTTAGTTAGGTCATGGAGGTCGTTATGAAGCATTCGAATTTCTTCATCTCACTCGTTTTGATTCTCCATAGAGCGGGATTCTGTGTTGGTTTTTATTTGTCTCGCTCATGACAACGTACAGATTTGGACTCAGTAGGGGATTGAGGGGTTGTCTCATGTCTGAATTGCTGAATTGTCGAGTGATTTCGAAAATTTTGTTAGTTATTGCTTTCAGAAGATCCTCTGCTAGGGTTGCGTTTTGCCCTTTAGATTTATTCCACTCCACGTAGCAGTGCCCGAGCTCCATGATCATATTTCATAGATATGGCCCTCAATCATTGCGGGTTCTAATCTACTATCTATTGTTTCTTATCTATTGTCACTTGTCTTCGGGAGATCTTGATCTTTGTATCATTTAGCTGGGGTTTGGCTTACAAATTTCACCCGTGTATTACTGCTATTTTTCTGACAAATTGCTGCACATCTGCTGCAGGTTAGTGATGCTCTGAGGATGGCGTAGTTAAACTACAGAGTTAGAGAAACCCTAATACTTGTACTTGCGTTAAATTGTAACACTGAAGATTACGAAACATCCAGATTTAAATGACGACGAGATATCGAGGTCCACTGGCTACACAAGAAGGTTGAACATAGTTCTGGAGAGCGAATGGAATTCAGCATCTCACTACATAAGACGGAGGGATTGCAGAAAATAGGTTCGACGCACGTTTTCCTGACAGCAGTTGACGCAGGGAAGCCCGTCGGAACGACTGCTTAACGGAGAGTGATCGCCTTGCTGGGGTAGTAGCACTTAGTCGTGTGCGATGGAGACATATGATGATACGGAGCAGTTTCAGTGTATTATCTGTCTAGAGCTTGTTTACAAGCCTATAGTGCACGCATGTGGGCACTTGTTTTGTTTTTGGTGTGTGCACAGAGCCATGGGCGGCACTCACAAAAATCTCTGTCCTCTTTGCCGCCGGCCTTACATGCACTTCCCTCGGATTTGTGAACAGCTTCATTTTGTCCTCCTGAAGGTTGTGCATGACAAGTACCTTTGTCGAGCCAAAGAAGTTCAAAAAGAAGAAATCGAGGCAGGTATTTTCTCTCCTCAACTCGATCTACCACCCCGCTCCAGAAGTATGCCTCTTGATATCAGCAGGCAAGCAACTACTTCAGTGAAGATCTCTGAAGAAGCATCTTCTGGTGATATTGAAACCGTTTCTTTTTTGAATCGAAGTTCTGAATGCGGAAATGGTTGTGCTTCAAATTCCTCCAGCAGCGTTGGTGACGACCCTAGTCCTTCCAAGGAGACCTATTTGTCACGACCTGTATTGATTAGTGAACCTGGTCCATGTTCTAAAGGGAAGGCTCCTGTGGCTGATGAAGGAGAAACAGATTTTGAAGGTCAACAATTGCGCACGAAGGACGAGGATCCGGACACCTCGCTCTCATATCTTATCGTTACAACCTCGGACTTGACCTGCTTGCATTGCTGCAACCTTCTTTATCGGCCGGTGGTCTTAAATTGTGGACATATGTTTTGCGAGCACTGTGTGGAAATTGATGATGACAATGCAGTGAGTTGTCCTTCATGTAAAGCAGAGCACCCTGGGATGTTTCCGCAAGTATGTTTAGAGCTACATCACTACATAGATAGGGTTTTCCCCCTTGAGTATGCTCAGCGCTCTCTTCAAGTTGCCGCAGAGGAACGGGAACGACCGAGTAATAGGCCGCAGGTGCCGATGTTAGCAGAGCCAGAAGTTTCAACGAAAGGTAGTGTTAGGAGAATATTACCTGGTCCTATACATCGCGATGTTGGTTGTGATGGCTGCGGAATGATGCCGATCGTTGGGAAACGATTTAAGTGTCAAGAATGCCCAGAGACTATTGGTTTTGATTTGTGTGGAAAATGTCATGGATCCGGTTGCGTCGTTGGAAGATTCAACCAGCGGCATACGCCAGATCATTGTATGAAAGAGGTGCGGCTTCGTGCAAGCATTGAAAGGGAGTTTTGGGACGCTATGGTGAGCAGAAGGCTCAATGTTGCGGACCGCAGAATTATACCAAACGAATGCAATGAACCGGAAGATATACAGGTCTTATTGGGACAACCAATTGGTGGCAGTAGAGGGAGTACGGGAGGTAATGGTGCTGATGTTTTCGAAGGTCCGGGTCCTGAGCAGAGTGCCAATGCTGATGGAAATGGTTCCATAGAGGTCGCGGAAGATGGTGTTCATCAGGTAGACTATATCCAAGAAGCTGACGGTGATGATAGCCATATTTTTATGCACGACGGTGGAGACGAGGAATTCGCTGGCCAGGACGATGAAGAATTTGAGACATTTAGTCGTGATGACGAAGATATTGAGTTTTACCGGGTTGTGTTTCACGCGTGACATTTCTCATCTTGTTTAGAATGCACATAAAATTCAGGAATTAAAGGGTCTGTGCTTCGGCACTTCCTCACTCTAGGGTATTCTCCCCTGGAGTGTAACAATCTTAATTCTGCCTTCTCTAGAATTGGTCTGACCTGAAGTGTATGGAATCTTTCATAAATTTGTTTGCAGTTTACGTTTCCGACTATCGTCATCTTCATAACCGCCGTGCCACTGTCCAAAGTCCTTCGAACCTGATTCTTAAGTTACTGAAGTGAACTGTCTCAAGTACTGTACTGCAGTGATATGATTTCCAATAATGTAGATACTATTAAGTACTAGAAGAGGGTGTTTTACCATTAAATACTACTCGAGGGTTTAGAGTTTTGGTTCATCTGTTCATGAAAAGCGGCGATTTTTGGTTGAGAGACTCGTGTTGTATTTTAAGCAGAAGTATGCACTGGATCTGAACAAAACAATCATTACTGAATATGGTCAAACAGGGCTATTTTCAACACCGCTGGTTTAAATTGTGATTGCGAATGTTGCAATAATTTAGCAGCGTAACTCCAATGCTCTTGCAAGGAGACAGGTGCTCTGAAACCTTATCCAATATATCACAGTGAACTATTCATGCATAAGCCGAAATATGTTGATGAAGTCTAGCATGTTGCAGTCACAAAGTGAGGCTTTGTGGCTTTGAATGTTGAGAGGGCATTACTCCGAAGCAGTTGTAGGGAATCCCATGTGCTGAATTTGTAAAATGGAATTTAAATCCAGTATATTAATCATCCTGTTGGATGACTGACTCGACGGGGCTGATCACAGACACAACACTGGAAAGACTGTCGAGCTGGAAAATGCTGACAGCTAAACCATCGACAACTTCGAGGTCCTTAGATGAAAACTACCTCGACGCCTCTCAATGGGCGTCAAATGTCTCTACTAAATAACGCTGAGGCGATCTGTGGTCCTGAAAGGATATATGACTCACCAAAGCTCTTTCGGTAGGTACAGCACACATTTCTATAATCTATAATCTATAATCTAATAGATCATATGTTTTTGCACAAATTTGTTTAACAGTCTTTGAACAACTAATTGCCTCTGAAAATTCATTTTGCTCTGTCCTGAGCGAACCAACTACTCTCTCATGCTTATCAGAGACTATGAAGATTAGAACAAATCAGAGCTTATTGAAGAATTTCCAATGAATTTTTTCTTCTGATCAATCTCAAAAGGATTCACAAAATGCACCCAAGTCAGTCTAAAACTAGAACATATTTAGTGCAATGAGACTGAAGAAGGTGCATTTTGTCGACGTACTTCAACAAAGCGCATCTGAGCAATATATACAAGATGGATCATAAAAAATGGTCAGAAGCCCACTTCCTCTTATGACGAGATTTGAGTGTAACGGTAGCCTGGCGAGCTTTTCAGGCTTGTCTTCTAGGCATCTCACCAGCTCCAGATAACTGTTGAAATATAGATAATCTTCGGGAGCCTTTCTTCTCCAATTCTCTCGACTGAGTGAAGATCGGTTTGTGAGTATTAGAGGTGTGAATGAAACGACATCGCTTGCCATAGTTGCAAAGTCCAGTTTCTGTGTAAGACCTGCACAACTGCACGAAATACATATAGGTTTAAGTTATTGCTCCGGTCTGAGCTCGATGTACCTTAAGAAGTCATTTGTCATGTAAATTATAAGGATTATTCGACATTCTGTGAAAATATTTCACACTGATGCTCATTTTATTTGCAAATGCATGTGGCCCTTTCAAGTCCCATCTTGAATCAAAACGTTGGAGCAAGTTATTGTGTAATTTTTAAGCGCAGTATCCAGTTTGAATTCACCTCCGTTTTGTATTTAGGGTGGCGCGGAACCGGACGTAGATCGTCATTTCCATGCGCAAACTGAGTGCCATGGACAAGAGAATTCAGAAAAATAAGTATCCACAATGTTTGAATATGAAAGACCCCGACATTTTTTGAGGAATTGATACTTGGCCGCGTATACAGAATCCTGAGATACAGAAAGCAATGTCTGGATAATCGATACCGAAAAAGTCAACAATCTTGGGAAAAATCTAACTGAAGCTGCATTCATAACAATTTGTTGACGTATTTAATACGCATGCCCTTGAAACTACTCGAACTTGGATGGAGTAGGCTGTAGAGAATTGCAAATTCTCCAATAAAACCCTTAAATTAAATTTAAGACCTCAAACAAGGTAGGTTGTCCTCTTGGTTATATTACCTGGCACTTGGATGCGTATCTGCAGTAACCAGTTTCTTCCCAGGATCTGCAGAGCTCGGTCTTGTACAATCCAACTTTAATTTGCGGATGCTCCATTTCATCCGAGGAAACAGACAAAGAAGAGCTCGAAGGCAACTCTGAGCCAGAGTTACACATTGGCTGCTTCGACCGAATCATGCTCGGTGTATGTATACTTTGGTGTCTTTGGAAATGAATGTTGAAGCCAAGTGAGTGCATCCCTTCATGGTGTGGATTTCGGCAGCCATAAATGGAATCTAAGAAAGAGACGTCACAATTGTAGACGCCAAATTTGTCCGGTTCGCGGCAAGGATAATTTCCGGGTGTGTACACGAGCAATTTCCTCTCCTCATGCGATCTCGTTTGAAGGGTACAACACGATGGAGAAGAGTTCAGCGAAGAATCTTGCTCAAGCCTCTGGTGATCCTCGTCAGTATTCGTGGAGAAGTACGGTATACCGGTAGAGGATCTCACGCCCAGATTGGAAGTGTCTGAGAAGATGATTCCATATTTATTCTCAGTTGTGCCACTTCCCATCCCTTGGAGGCTCTGTGGATAAGAGTATCTGAATTCCACTTCGGGAGGTGAAATGTTACTCCCATGTTCGCTGTAAGGAAAAGGCATACTCATCTCCTCTTCCACTTCTGGTAAGTAACCGAGGAAAGAACGAAACCTTAGAGGATTAGAAACCTCCGATTGCTGGTGTCCACATTTGCAGACTCGACTGCAATGCAAACTCGAGTCCATGGACAACTGAGTGTTCTCTAGGAGAAAGTAATTAGTATCGTCACCACTCGAGGAGAAAATTGCCTCAGCAATTGATGGAGGCTCGGTTTCGCTACGAAATTGACACTGTTTAGGAAAATGTAAATTACTTGATTGCGTCACAGTGTGTGAAATTGGTAATGGATGATAGGGCTCAGGTGCTGAAGACCGACACTCAGGCGCCATTTGGAACACGGTTCCCTCTTCACTCTGGTTCTGATAGCAATTCATGGTCCTATCTGATGTAATTCTCACTGGATCAATTTTAAAGGACCCCAAACATCTCAAAGTAGAACTGCAACAACAAATTGTCATCAGTGACCCCTCCACATCCGCATCACATTACCATATCACCACGTAAATGATCAGACTATCATAAATTATTCTCACCCGATGAACCTATTGCGACTGACTTACTTCGCACATCATGAGAATGACCTTCATAAAAGCTGCACAGAATGCTTCAATAATGGTAGCTCAATTCAAAACTAAGTCATGAACATACTCTCTTACGAAAAACTTGTATCACTCAGTTCCACGCAACTCATTCTGCAAAAGTACAGACGACTAGTATCAACGCAATGGCTGAACCTACAGAACGTGATTCATAAACAGCAACGAGCAATAGATTCCCCCGGATACTTACGAAGATAACTCCTACGGATAATTAAGCTCCCACAACCGCCCTTCGTGCAGCATTCGGTCGAGCAGAATTGAAACAGCACTTTCACTGCCACATATCTATTGTTGCTCTGCACTACGACGAATCAAAATTTACCGCAAAACCTCGGTATCCAAGAAACGCTCTCCGGTCTCAGAATTACAACAAAAATCCCTGCACCAAAATTCCTCCAATATCTTCAATAGTTCTACTTGAAACCTCAATTCTAACGCTCAGCGACACCATCCAGATTCTTTCCTCCCACTGCGACGAGCTATCCGAGAGCATTTAATCTACGCTTCATTCGAAGTTAAGACTGAAAGGCTCGAACCTAGGAAACTTTCTCGCACTTGGACGCTGGTGGCACTTCCTTGATCTAGTCCCCCTATGAGGAGCTCGGATCAATATGACCGTAGATGTCCACAAGAGAGACGAATCGCAGCCCTCCAATAGGGCGACGGAGTGCATGGGGTGGCGCCTCTGCCAGAGAGAGAGACAATCGAGATCCGGAAGTCGCAGTCACATCTGTTGCGATCGGCTCCCATCACTTTCGCATTAGGTCTGCGTCATTCTCATGAATCGATCGCAGCACTTAATCATTCGCTCAGCCTTCTTCATCATGGTTCCTATCGATGCCTTGTGGTCAGACTTTCTACCGCGCTTTCTGAAGCAGAGGCTTCAGTGACCCCTCCCCCTCCCCTCCTCTCGCAATCTTCTTTGGATTGCGAACTCCATCAATCCTATTCCGAACTCTGTTTCGACGATTAACGGTGCGGCGGAGAGTGACTTCGCGTTCTGCTGCAGTTTCTCGCGATGGACGAGTATTTCCCTTCACGCACTCTCACTCACTCGCTCACTCACAGAGTTTGGTGCAAATAAATTGCATCGCCTGCTGCCATCCTTCCAAGTCAATTCCGGTCGAGCAACAGATAATTTCCTCATCCTCTTCGCTTGTGAAGTTTTCCATTTCGCATCCATTCAAAATTTCACTCGTTCTTGGGCTTCTTGGCTACTCGATGTGTGATCTAGATTCTTTCATGTGCATTCATGAATGTGATTTTTAGCAAGTTGCATTTATTTGCTGTATGAACACTTTGATGAGGTACAGAATAGCCTACTCTTTGCTAAACCACACTTGAGCTCAGCGCAAAGATTGATAAAAAGATAAAAACTCATAATATTCACAAGTTTGTGTTAGAAGAAGAAGATCAAAACAAAATTTTAAAAGGAGTTTTTCTTTTCTATTATTTAGGAGGAAGTAAAAAAGAAAAGCTCGACAAATTTCAGAATAAAAGTAGTTGGATTGTTTAATATGTTTGTAATCTCAAAGAGTATTTCTATTAAAATTATTATGTTGTGATAATAAAAAATTGAAATTAAAAATATCCTATTAAAATTATTATGTTGTGTCTTAATTTTTTAAAAATAGAAATTTAATAGTTTTTATCAAAAAATTAATTAAGGGGATTTTAATAAATGCTTCAGAAATGTCTTTCTAGTTTACTAAGAAATTTCTTTCTATTAAATTATCTTATTTTTGTGATTAATATTCCTATCTCTTTACATGGTCAATACATTAATAATTAGAAGATAGGATAAGAGGCACTGTAGCTAGGCCAATTCATGTTTTGGGGCATTCTATTTTATATTTTTAATTTTATTTTTTAATCTTGTATTTAATCTTACTTCTATTTATTTTTAAAAGATTAAAATTTATTTTTTCTCTTTATAATTCTTGATCTCTTTGAGTCTACTTTTTTGCTCTTAACAAACAGTATAAATGATTAAATATCGTATCAATATCAATAAAAATAAATAAATTAGTATCTTTATAGACATGTATATGGGCGTTTATTACATCAAAATATCGACAGAGTCCAATATAATTGATTATTCTTAACACTAGTAGCATTTTACAATTTAGACAATAAACTCATCAAAGTTTACAAAAACCAAAAAGATTATATGTTATTACAAAAAATCTATTTAAGCATTAATCAATAATATGGAAAGATTATTTTTTTGACAAATATTTGTTTTACCTGTGTATAGTAGAAATAATTCTCAACTAAAATGTGTTCAATGAGAGGTTATAACCTTAAGTTAGGATGTATGATAATATCGTGAATTAACCAAAAAAAATAGAGTATTATTTTAAGCTCATTTTTTGGAATAAAATATGAAATGGCTAAAAAAATTAAAAATAAATGTATGGTTTTATAATACTATAAGAACTTCATTAAATCTACATGCATTAAAGATTTTGATGGTGCCTCTAAACAAATCTGCACTAAAATACATCTTTTAAATTAAAATAAATAAAGAAATATATGAATGTGTATATATATAATTGTTTAAAAATAATTATTTATAAAATATATAAAATAAAATAAATTTCTAATACACTAAGAAAAACCTGAAGAACATCCAGAAAAGAAAAGAAAAAAATTAATAAATTATATTAACGAAGTTTTAAAACTTAACAAAGAGGTAAATTATGAACATACACATTAAACAATTTAGTTTTATTGTTTATTTCAAGTACTTTGAAAACTTAATCACCCAACAAAGTTCAATACCTCATTTTCTAAAAATTACACATCAATGTGGATAATGCTTTAAAATTCGATAATAAAGAACCATTATATCAACACTTGTGTAAGATTTGGCAAAAACCAATAAACCATAGTTCTCACAATGGTACAAAAGATGATAAAAAAAAATGATACCAAAATACTAATTTTTTTCAGATGCATGAGATATGAATGCATTAGATAGTCACTAACTTTCTATACTTCACGTTGTTTTACCTCATTCTATAAAATTAGTTCTTGTGCTCATTTCACTGTGGATTTGTTTGACGTATCTCATTCCTTGTTTGTCTTAAATATCGTGAAGTGTATCTGGAAGTCTGAAGCTTATGGCAACCTCTGCCGTTACCAAAAACTACAGAGAATGAGGACGTGGAACTAAGAATTTTGATCCATTTGTAGTCGGATGCCCTGGAACACAAATCAAGGGTGAGGCATCCAATAATTCTCAAGAGGCTACGCAAGAACAATGTGATGGTCGTTATAGTATTTTGTGTCATGAGCCAACGGCCATCTGTGAAGAGATCACCATCTATGTTCAGAATTTGGCTCTGTTGTAGAAATTTGTCTAAATATTTCAAAATAAAGAAAATTGGATCACCTCCTTGCAAGACGAGTATCGTAAACCACATCTCCTCCAAATGTTGGTCGTGCATGAATTAGTGAAAAGGTAGTCAGAGTTTGTCAGCTTCTCTATTTACTTGTGGGCCGGCAAAGAGGATGATGTTGAAGTGTCTGTTGGAAAAACCAAGGAGAAGAAACAGAATGAGATTGAGGACACAAACTTTGAGGATGGGAAAACTTCAGGTGAGACCCTAAGAAATGCTCAAATTACAAGTTGTTGGTGATTTGTGCTTCTTTTAAAATAACTTGCAGGAGTTTTTCTCATGTTATGTAATCGTATGGAAGAAATGATGATATTTATGTTATGGTTGTACTACATGGAAATGCAACAGGTGATTTACAGAATGTCTACACTCACTAAAAAACTACAAAGTGCAACGTTGTTGATCTCAGTTTATTGAATGACCCTGCCGATTTAAGTTAAATGGATCTTTCTGGATTCCTTTTTGATCTTGAAAACATAAACTTAGCTGCTTATAATTGACATATGCTTAGCTGCTTGCAAAATTCCTTGATTCGTTAGGGTGCATTTTGTAGCAGTTGTAGACATGCTGCTGAAATGATAGGATTTTCTTTTGGTTTCTTTTGGTGTGTTCCATGTGTCTTCAGAATTGAAAACAACGTGTCAAAAAAACCAAATAGGATTGGGAGCTTCTTCATTGTGAGAATGACTGGGCTCTCTTGTTATTATCTGAGAGCAAGTTTATTGTTGTGCCAAACTGTACAGTTATTGTTTACGTGTTGGGGTTTAGGTATCCTTGAATTTATATTTGCTTTGGCATGTTGGAGCTCCAAGCAGCACAAGCATGCTTCTCACGATTAGTTCCATATCGTGAATGAATCTCGAGGTATGTTGCAGCAACAACGCGACTCAAAAACCATCAAGAACTTGCTTGCCCGTAGAGCTTCGGAAAAGATCTGGTAATTTTTCGATGAAGATGTAGATGAGAATTTTGATGACAAAAATTGACAGGGTAGTCCACAACGCATGTTGAGGCTTTGGAATGTCACGGGTAGTGATATTTTCTGTCTGGATATTTACTTGAAGGTCTCGACATTTGCAAATAATTTTCAGTTGTGCCGAAAAAGGTGAGTTGAGAGGCCACGAGTCTGCGAGGCGGGCAAACATGGCAAGTTCTGGAAGGAGTTTGGAAAGGCCATCAAGGTGGGCATCATCGAGTTCAAAGTTAGTGCGGACCCACAGGTGCATTTTCAATTTCGGTAGAACCTAGCGAAATGGTGTCAGATTCTTTCTGTCACATGGTTTGAACTCAACATTTTCTCAAGTTGTTCGCTGAGCGGATGTTGCATTTGTGCAGTTCTGGATCCGAAATCAACGATGATCCAGTGAAGTTAATTCGTCACCTCACATACGGCAGAATGAGACGATGCCTTCGGAGGAGGTAACTGATGGTGCAGATGACGGTGTTACCGTGGAAGCGCTTTTTTCAGACAAGGATGAGCTGTTTTCTTCAGAGTTAAACTAGTAATGAAAAAAGATTGTAAGGGTGCTTCAAAGCACACATCTCTCTAGAACCAGCACAGCACGACGACCAGGTCCGTGAGGGGTATCAACGACTCAGGAGAGCGCTGGACGAGGTCTATGAGGGGTATCGATGGCACAGCAAGGGTGTAGACATCCACAGCAGCAACACGACGGAGCTCATTCAACAGCAGATTGTTTTGTGGGTCGGCGGAGAGGTTGAAGAACTTATCAAGAAGAGAGCGGAGTTATTGTGATTTTAATGTCGTGAATCGCTGCGTGAGCTTATTGCGATCTGAGCCCTTGATGTGAACACCGCTTGTTGTTCTGCAGAGCCTCGATAGGATTTGTACGAGTGCCCAATACAGTTGGAATAAGCCATCGGTTGTGAGTCGGTTCATTGTTGGAGGGCTTTGAATTATTTTTACGATCAATCCTTTGGATGAGCGAATCTTGGAGGGGAAATCCTTAGGTAAGAGCCGCTTCATGTTAGCTGGCCGACAAGCTTAGGATTATCGAGATCGGATCTAAGAGGAATTGTTGGCAACGATTCAAGGGTTGAGTGGTCCACTGCCTGTGCAGTTTGGATCACGTAACTTCGGAGGAGCAGTTCTGAGAGCTCAATCATTGGATTGCCGTGAATGTTTTTGTTGCTGAAGTGGTTTGAATTCTGGTTCCAACAAGTTATAAATTGTCCAGATCGGAGTATTGAGGTGCCTGAAGCGGCTGCTGGAGTGAAAGGAGGGCATAACCAAGGGATCCAGTTTGACAAGGTGCAGTGTAGGTAAATGGTTGATATCAACACAAGAAAAAAGAAAATACTGAAGCTTGTGTTTCTGAATTGGTAAGAACATCTAGTTTATGATTTTGTTTTGTTTTTATGTTATTTTTTAAAATTTTATTATCATAATTGTTTTAGATAAGTTACTAAGATTAGGATTACAGTTTGGTAGGATTTGGTAGAAGTAGGATTTTTGACTATTTTTTGGAGGGTTATTGGAGTTCTTTTTGGATTTGGGTAGGCTACCTCAAGGTTCATATAGAATTTGTTTATATGTTAATAGCCATTAGGATTTTCTTAGAATTTGTTAGGATTTTGTATCTTATGATTGTTAAGATTAGATTAAGTGGAGAGAAGATGATATCAATTGAAAGAACACAAATTTGATGAAAAATTTATGGCACTTATCATAGAATTAATATACAACCCTGTAGATTATACTATCATTATAATTCTAGCTTCTAGTATTGGATAGGAGGAATTGAAATAATTAGACATAAGGGATAAAGAATTTTTTTTACAACCATGAGTTTTTTTATTTAAAAATACTTTTTTATTTGAAAAGAATGTAAGTCAAGAGGATTTTTTTTACCTAAATTTTTAATCTTAATCAAAACTAATAAGGTCAACTAACACAAAATGCTAAATAGATAAAAATACATTAAACTAAAATAGACTATATCTATTTTATTTAATTTGACATTTAATGCCTATCACATGACATACATTTACATATGCATTTTTAAATAATTATTATCTAAATCATGAAATTTAGTGAATATTTGTCACAAA